ATTCACTTCAGATACCTCGTATTTACTACATTCATACCAAAATTAGCTTATACAGTGGATTTAACAGTTGAAACCCTCTGTATGTGTGAAGTGTTCACAGGGTAGCTTGGTCCTCCCTTAAAATCTTGAGGAAGCTCTAAATGGCCATAGTGAAAGCAGGATTCTGCACTCTTTTCTTCAAAGGGTCATTTTACATGTGCAGGATTTGACTTTCTAGACACTTAATAAGAATCCTCACTCTTTCTCTTCCTTCACCAGGAAGGGAAATAACCTGTATTGTAGAGTTAACATAGATCAGCGGTTTAAGATAATTATCCATGCATAAAAAAAATCATCTGATATTGCTAGCCATTTGTTCCTCGAGATAAGAGCCCATTAACATGTAACAGCCCATTGCTTGCTGCAAATGTGTTCTGTATATACGATAAATATACAAGGGCTTATTTTAAAAGATGTTTCTTCAAGGGTTTTTTGAGGTCCTGAGCACCAAAATACTGGGTTGTTCTTTTTCAAGTTTTGTGGAATAAAAATGCTTTCTGCTAAGGTTTTATGTGTAGAGCTTCAGCACTTAACACATTTTATAGTCAAGTCTTTAAACCCCTGGACACTGATTTTAATAGTGGAAATGCTGACAGCCACTTAGTTGTATCTGTTCTGGTAGCACCGCTATAATTCCTGTTTAACCCACCTAGATGCAGTTGTTTTGAATGGTTGAATGATGTTGCTGACATCACGACTGTTGCATTGCAGTATCTATAAATATCCACAGTTGAATGTTCCTATTCAAGTGCTTAGCATTCCTTTTTTTTTAAGAATTTGTCTTTTGAAGACTAATTCTCGGTATACAATTAATTTGCAGTGTTCTGGGAGTAACAGACATGCTTTGTTCTAAAATTCAATTTGCTTATTGACCATTAACTATCAAATTTTAAAATGGAAACTGTGATTATAACTTGAAAAATGCAAGCTTGTGAACTTTTCCCAGATAGTGTTAAACAGATGTATGGTCTTTGAAAATTGTGCTGCAGTATGAAGGAATAATGGAAATTTTTGAGTGGTTATAAAGCATTTAAAGAGGATTTATCAGTTCAGAGCTATTTTTCTGACAATTGTTTTAGCTACCTGGAAGACAGGATTTTAGGAAGAAATAACCTATTTAATTCAGCTTTCCTGAACAGCCTGGAACTTTCTGCCTGTCTGACCTTATCAGCCCAGTGCAGATTGCAGTGGGAGGGGCTGGTCTCTGCGCCATACCAGTCTCAGGCAGCCGGCAGTAATGAGTGGAATGTGATGTCTGTAAGTACACAGCCCAGGAATGAAGTCAGTTATCTGGTGTTGAGCTAGCAACCTTGCGTACATCTGAACTGCAGCAATATTTGTGATACAGATATATTTAAAAAACAAAACAGAACCCTGCCCCCTTGCTTGGTAGCTTTCTTTTTTTTTATATTATTGAAGCTGTTTGAGAAATGGAGATGTACTTTACCTCTGAATACTTAGGAACAGGTTGATGCATCACTCTTCAGTTCCAGACAGGGTTACTGCAGTTCTCAAGTGAAAACATTGAATGCAGACTGCATCACGCTGCAGCATCGATGACTTTCATGTTTGGAGCTCCCCAGTGACTGCTGATCGCATTTTGGCAGAACACAGACGTGCTGACGTCAGCTGATTTGCTGCAGGAAAGAACAGTCCATTATTGCTAGACCAAAGCACTTCTTTTACAATTGACTGGCTCTACTTACTGTAGTCACAAAGAAAGCCTTTCTTTTTGCATATTCCACTAAAAAGACAAGCTGCTTTGCATAGCAAGGGGCAAAGCAGTTAATAAATTGAATTACAAAATAGATTTTTCCATTTTAAATAGGGGACTGACTCTTAATTTACAATAAGTTGTGCATATAAACTGTGGAAAGCATTTTTAATTTCCGCATATAGATTTACAACCAAAGAAACCATGACATTGGAATCTAAAGAAGAAAGGGACTTCATTTTTTCCCAGCCTTACAAATAATAGAATAGGCAGCAGAGAGAGAAGAAGCAAGTTCGTATCAATTTCAGAATAAAACCTAGCTCCAGTGCTGCTGAATACTATTTCAAAAAAATGTGCATGTCCTGATGGCTTGTGGAAAGCTCCAGAGAAATGCATTTTAGCAGTGTGGTTCATATTCTCCATGTTATCCCTGTTTCTAGAGGGAACGGGTCAAGATTGAATATAGTAGTAGGAAGAGCAACCAGGGGTTTGGGGTGGGTGTTTTTGTTTCGAGCCAATTTCATACTGGGGGGAGGAGGGGGTGATGATTTATGTACTCAAATTCATTAGATTGAGGTTTGACCTAGATATACATCATACAGAACATGCAGACATTTTCATGTGCTCTTTTGAAAAATACCTGATGGGGGATGCCAATTATATTGCTTAGAAAAGGGAAGTATAACAGACTTTCCTTCCCCTCCTTAAACTGCCGCAATGCAGTTGGGGCTCAGAGTTCACCAGAGTAACAACTGCTGCTCAAATGGCTTCCTGGAGGAGGGAGTGACTATGGGAAGAGAGCTGGAATGTGAACTTGCTGCCATGTGTTCCCCTCTATCGGATGGTCCCTTTCCAATTGTCTGGAATCTGAAGAGGAAGCACGGCTAGAACAGATTCGCCCACCTGTGGAATCATCCATTTAATTGTACAGAAAGTGTTTCTGACTGGTGACTCAATTCCTCATTTGACACATTTCTTGAGAGAATCCTCAGTCTTTCTTCATATGTGATTTTTCTATTAATTTTCTTCTTTCACAGTTGGTACATTCTGTGGGCCATGGACACTGACAGACATGGGGGGGAGAAAAAAAACAGTGCTTTACCAGAAAAGGCAGTGTGTTAGCTTGACCCAGCTCCCCAGTGTCTATATAGACCAGGTGCTTCAGCAGGGTTTTTTGGTGTCTTTATCTAAAGCTGATTCAATCAGCTACTAGATCAGGTGCTTCCATGGGGCTTTCTGGCACTTATCTTTATAGACCAGGGGTGGGCAAAATACAGCCTGCCAGACACTTCCATCCAGCCCTCAGGGCCCCTCCTTAAGCCCTGGCCTTGGTTGCATTGCTGTGGGAGGTACTGCTGTGTTTAAACAAACTGCTTGCCCCAACCCCAGCTTGGCCTGACCCACCCCAGCCCTGAACCAGGGGGCACTAGAGACAAGAAGCCTCTGCCGGCCTGACAGAACTTTTGCTGGTCATCCTGTGGCTGTGCCCAGCCTCTCTGCCTGTGAGCCTGGGAATCCAGGTGTGGCCTCACTGGGCTGGGGCCAGGGACTCCCACCGGGCAAAGCAGGGCAGGAATGTGGGAAACTGCACTATGGGGCAGAGCTGGACTGGCCCTGAATGCTGCTACCACAGGTGGCTGCGGACGGGTGGGAGCACGGGAGCTGCCTGCTGTGGGGCTGGCCCCACACGTGGCCAACACAGAGCCAGGGACTTGGGTGGGATCTGTGTGTTACAGGGCTGGGTAGGGCTGGCCCCGCTTGCTGCCACTGCATGCAACTCCAGGGACTCCAAGGACTGACCCCACCCACACCTTTTCCTCTCCCCGCCCATACCCCATACCCTCCACACCCATGCACCATACCCACACCCCCAAACCCCACCATACACAATATACAACAGTAAGACTATATTTTGAGCTATTATGCAATTGCTTCTGGATACACTAAGCAAATGCACATAAATCAGGACAAAAATGTGTTTTAAAATACAGTTAAAATAAGTAGTAGATGTTTGAAATGGCCAAGGGATGCGGCACTTATCAAGGGGTGGGGCTACCTTTGTGGCCCTCAAAAGTTGACCAAAACTCGTTAAGTGGCCCTGCAGCCAAAGTAATTGCCCACCTCTGATATAGATATTGGGCGAGCCAGGTCAAACATGCACTACCTCTTCAGGTCAGTGCACCCCCACACTGAGCACAGCGTGTGCCCAGAAGTAAAGAGCAGCTTGTTTGTTAGTTTTTGTTCATGTCTGTAAGCAGTCTACATTTCCATCTTGGTACATGTAGAATTGTGGAGGCATTTACATGCACAGTGAAGTATGAATGAAATACTTTTTTATTTTTTTTATTTTCAAGCACAGAGTATTAGTTGCAAAAGCGTCTTTGTATGTGCTCTGACTGACTAAGTGGGTGATTGTGTGGCATCTTAAAGCCATAGAGAATAATAAATAATTTTATTTTGTATTCCACTTATAAATACTATAAATATCTGTAATATTTAATCGGTGCTTGTGGCATTGAAAGAACAAGTTGCTTCTATCCATTTAAATATTGATAAAGATGAAAAGAGTTAAACTTTTAATGGAAAGTAGATGCAGCTATGCACTATTCAGTCCTTTTGCTACCTGAACATGAATCATAGCAAAAGAACTTAGTCAAGATGCACAGCTGGAAAAGATCCATGCAAGATGTCAGTGTCCTTGAATTTACCATTCTCCTCCCTTCCTGTTAGCTGTTGAAAGAGTTATGTAGGCACAGAGTCTTACTCTACAAGCTTAACTATGTAAGTAAGTGGGCAGGATGTGTATATATAGGGTCCTTAGGCCGTTGTAAAGAGCAGGAATATATTTGTTTAGGTTCTGTTGTTTTGTATGATTTTACATAACGCTTCTAACTTTCACAAATTTATACCAAAGAAAGAAAGGAGCAAGTTTCCCTTTTTTATATGCTTAGTATTTGTTTGACATTTCTGTTGGATAATTGCATAGTACTTTTCAAGATGGGTGATACTTTTATGTTGGTGGAGAGATTGACTCACGTCCCAACCTTTAAGAAACAAGTGGCGTCTTTGTAGGCATTTGCTTATCAAGGCTTTCCTGCTAGAAGGGATTCTTTATACAAGAATCACTAGGATTTTAAGTACACCACGTGTGACAAACAAAACAGACTTTCCTTACTTAGATCTCTCTTTGCTCTGCCTTTGTTTAATGTTATAAACAACGTATTAATCGAAACTTCTTGACTTTCAGAAAATGGATCCAAGTGGGGTAAAAGTGCTGGAAACAGCAGAGGACATCCAAGAAAGGCGCCAGCAAGTCTTGGACCGGTACCACAGGTTCAAGGAATTGTCTTCTCTGAGGCGCCAAAAACTTGAAGATTCCTATCGATTCCAGTTTTTCCAACGTGATGCAGATGAGCTGGAAAAATGGATCCAGGAGAAACTCCAAATTGCATCTGATGAGAATTACAAAGACCCAACCAATCTACAGGCAAGTCCTTGTTCTGTGTCTCCTACCTTTATGCTTCTGTGCCACTAGCTTCTGGACATACCAGGTTCACCTGGGGGGATGAGTAGAACATGAAAGAATGTAGCTGAAACTAATGATAGAAGGTGTTGGAACTGTCAGAGGTCCTAAAAACTTTTGTCATAAGCTGGTTTCTGAATCGGTGTGAATGAAATGATTGTAATAATGGATTCATTGCTAAAACCTTGTGGGAACTCGGGGCACTGTAGCGTCAATACAAATGTAGGTATTTCTGGCATCCAGTAGATACTTGAATTACATAAATAGATGTGGGTAAATTCTTACCGTTTCCCCAAAGACTAATTTTGTAGACTGGTGCTATGTGGGTGGGACTTGCTGAATGGGCTCGCAAACATTTGAAAAGTCTGAAGCGCACAAACAAAGAATAACTAAAATTGAGATGTTTGAATCCACCCCTGAAACATATGGTACAGCTAGGATTTCATTTGCACTGTTTTACAGTTTGGGTGGATCAGTACTACAAATGTGTAAAATATTTTCAAAGTTCTGGGTGGTAGAGAGAAGACACGTGCTGTATTTTGCAGGTGTCATGTTGTTTGATGTTTTTCTTACAGGGAAAACTGCAGAAACACCAGGCCTTTGAAGCTGAGGTTCAGGCCAATTCAGGGGCAATCATTAAACTGGACGAAACTGGAAATCAGATGATTAATGAAGGGCATTTTGCATCTGAAACTATAAGAGTGAGTGTTTAGAAATCTTTTTCCACTATAATCCCTTCCATAAATGCCTGTAGATTGCATGGAGATCATAATTTCTTTTAAAAGAAGCTTTAAAAATTAGTTAAGGCTGTTTAGTTAGTGAAATCAGGAAGAAAGCCTGTACTTTTGGGCTTGTTCCTCTCTGAACACCTGTCACACTGGGCTCACTGGGATTTTTCCTTTCAAGCTCCCCACTAAGTCTGTGTTGTACTGTGGTGCAGGCACATGTGAGCTGGGTCATTGGATTATATTGTCAGTTCTCAAGGCTGCATATCACCATAAAGCAGGTGCACCTAATGTAGGAGTGGGTGATGCATACTTTTTTCTACTTTTTAAATATTGTGCCCAAGTCATTAACTTTCTATAGTAATCCATTAGAGATATGTGCAATTTTACTGTTAGACTTTGGAGATTGAAATTCTACAAGAATAAAACCTCAGGCAAACAGAATTAAACCCATACTTTATGGTCACTGATACACATGATCTGGATTGCAGTTTGGTGATAGAAATCAATGTCCCACCACTTCTTGTGTTAAGAACTCCTGGTGCTACGCTTTCCCTTTTTCAAACCTGTGGTGAGCCAGCTTTTAGGATGGCTACTTCCCCATCAGCAGTAACCAAGCTGTCCCTCCAATGGACTCTACTCATTTTGGTTTTTTTGGAAATTCTTCTCTCCATATCCCCAAAGCTATGCATCCCAAAACCAAACGTATTTTTTTTTAACTTCTTTTGATGCTTATGATTTGTTTTGATACATCATGGAATTATTAAAATGCTAACTTGTCCAGCTTTTTAACTGCCTTTAGCTACATTTAACAGCCTTTAGCTACATTTTCTGTTTATTCTGACTCCCATATATTCTTTCCTCTTGTAATTTACTTCCTGACTAGGCTTTACCTGTTTTTACTCTTTTTATTCGCCCAGTCTCTTTAGTGCTCTTGCAGGGTAAATGTCCACCTTTTCCAAGTATTCCTTGAGCACTAATTGGACAAACCAATAAGTACTCTGCTATTGTTTCTGGCTGCCTACCCTCTTAATAAACCTTTCAAATATTTTAAAGCTCTTCCCTTGTTGAATCTTAAACTTAAGAAGATAAACCTCTTTAAAAAAGAGAGAGAAATACAGTGACAAGGGACCCTCTTGTTACAGTTACTAAATTTACTGATATTTTTGTTTATTACTTAAGTCAAAGAAAAAGTGGTGTCTTTCAGAAGCAGCAATAAACACTCTGGGTTGTTTGAGTTATGGAAAAATGCTATAAAGTAATTGTAGCCTTAGAAACCTTCTTGCATGAGGACATTTTTGTCTTGCAATTTTTCTTAAACAGAGGTAAAAATATATATGTTATGTGGTCCACTTAAAAACAAAAAAAATATTGAAAATCTTAGGCCATCCTGATCAGTGTACAACCCAATTTGTATTCTGTTTGGAATGGTAACTGTCTGTTAATGGTTTAGTCTTTCACGCCATACAGGACTGCACAGCGCCCAATAGTAACTGCTACTCAAGTTGGGTCCCACATACGAGTAGGTGAATTTTTGTCTGTGCAGTGTTGCTTTCATTTTCTGCTGGAATGCCTCTCGTTTTTTTTCCTTCGTGGATGGTTTGCACCTTGCTATTGGACTGCGTTAGAAACTTGAGTTGCGTGACATCTTTCTGCTCTTTAAACTTTCAGAGTAGAACATATAAATGCCTTTACAAAATGCTCATGTTAGATATCCCAATGCTCCTCTAGCCTGACTTTCACGTTTCAATTTTTGATGAGCAAAGCATAGGAAGATGGGTGGAATAGATATCTTCCTGTTTTGCAAGTTGTGTGTGCGTGGGTTTTTTTCTTTTGTTTTTACAGACACTCCCAATGTTTTGGAAACAGAATACAGGCAGAGGCCCATTATTTTATAGTTGCCAGGATCTTCCAACACTTCTATATTGGCCTAGTATAGTAAAGATTAACTTCCCATTTTAACTCACTAGTGCCAAAAATGGTTAATAATGGGTGTGAATTGATGCAAGTGAACTCAAAGCAAACTTCTGTCCTTTTAAATGTAAATAAAAGGGCATAAAACTTAACCCTGAAGTGCTAAGAAACCCCAATTGAAAGGGAGTTGATTTTCATTTTAAAAAATTAGCAGCATTTAAGGGTGGCACCAGCAATTTATCTCATGTTTCCAGCCTCTGAAAGCTCTCTTGAAATACGTAGCTATGTGGTGGTCCTGCTAACTGACAAAGGCTTACCAGGTCCCTATTTGTGCAGTTTGCTTGCATTAAGTGTTATGCTGACCTACTAAATATCATTCGCAGACTGAAGTTAAAACTGCTGTAAAGTTCATTCACTACCTAACAGAAACTTGAAGGGAGTGAGATTCAGCTGGAAATTTTCCATGATTTTAAGAGTGCAGAAGATTACTGCATTGCAAACTTTCATCGCCTACAACATAGTATTATTAATGCCTGCATCTTACTCTGCTATTTCAGACTCGACTACAGGAACTTCATCGACTGTGGGAGCTTCTGCTCGAGAAAATGCGGGAGAAGGGAGTCAAACTACTACAAGCACAGAAGCTGGTGCAGTACTTAAGAGAATGTGAAGATGTTTTGGACTGGATCATTGACAAGGTATATATAGTATACCCAAGAGAAGTTCCATTAGCATCATAAAGCCTCTACAATATCCCAGTTTCACAAAAGGAACTTCAGCTAGTTTGTATGGAGATGTTTTATCACAATCTCCATCATCTTGGTACAGTTAAGCATCAGAAGGTATTTAAATAGGATTATAAGAATTATTGAAGTTATTTATGTGTGATATGTAGCAGTCTTGCAAAGCATACTTTTCTGGTGCTTGCCAATAGAATTATAGAAAATGATGTATTAAAAAAAGATAAGAGGAAATCATTGTAAGTTTAGGAAACCATCAGGTTTTTGGCAGACTTTCTTTTTTCCTTAAGAGGAGGCCTGTGTTATTTCTCCTATTGATTTAACTGAACTATAGTGAAAACAGTAGCATATAAAAGCAAAGTTTTAGGTGTATAAGCTAAAATTGAACCAAGATGACAAGGGATTGTCTACCTGTTGAACAGCACAAGTGCATCTTTTTTGTTGTGCGAAATCTCTTTAGGTAACTGTCACGGTGGGGTCCTTGAGGAGAGCCACGATCTCCTTAAGGCCCTCTCTCCATGCCAGTTCGTCCCAAGGGCACCCTCTATTCTCGCCCGCCACGTCTTTGATGTTCAGTAGGTTCGGGAGGCTGCCTTGCGTCTCCTTGGGCACGTAAACTCCTGGACCCCTCGTGGGTCTTATCCTGCACCCATGGGTGCCTTGGGGCACCCTAGCCTTATGGGCTACACGTGGCTCCTACTGACCCCTAATACCATGCCCCAAGCCTCGCTGATGGGATAGACGCTGGTGTGTGTGTGTAACACACACTGCCCGTCTCTCGGGCCTCCTCTACGTACTTTCGCCCTCTCTTGGGCTCTCCAAGCCCACTCGAGGCCTCCCTGTAAATGTTGCCCCTTTCTGGGGCCTTCTCTATAGTGTCGCCCCCTGTCTGGGGCCTTTACACTAGTGCCCCCTCCTGGGGCTCCCCATGCAATGTTGCCCAAACTCGGGCTTCTAAAATACAGCCTGGGGCTCTCTGCGCCCACTCTGGGGACTTCTCGGCAATGCCACCTGATTCTCGGGCCCACCGTGCTGCTACCTCCTTCTCCCAGGGCCACTGCGCCACTACTCCATCTCACCGGGGCAACCGCAGCACTCTACCCTGCTCCGGGGTTTGTCGCAGCACTAGCCCTTCTTCAGAGGCTCACCGTGCCCGCACTGGGCTTCCTAATAATATTGCCCCCTCTCTAGGGCTTGCTGTGCCCCAACTGGGCTTCCTCATAACACTGCCCCCTCTCTGGGGCTTGTCGTGCCTGCACTGGGGCTTCTCAAAGCCGCCCCTCTCCGGGGCTGGGGTCTACGCCCCACAAGCTGCGCCCTCACTGGCGCTACGCCTTCACTGGTGCCAGGGTTCCCATACCACTGAGGTTCCCCCTGTGAATACTGCGCCCTCACTGACGCTAGGGCCCCACCCCCTGTGGGTCCCTATGAGTACACTGCGCCCTCCTCAGGCGCTGGGGCCCCCCACCCCTCTGGGGGTCCCTATGAGGCCTCCTCCAACCCCTATAGCCTCATCCAAACCACCGGTGTAATATCAGAAGCAAACATAAACTCGAGCCTCCTGGCTATAACTCAAACATAAAGCCTCCTGGCAGAACCATGGTGCTCAAACCTCTCCGAGCTGCCATCCTTCACCCAGCTAGAGCAGTTCCTGTGATTCTCACCTCCTAGCTCCAGGAGCTTCTGCCCCTCTGGCTGCTGGCAGGGAACTGCCGGCCTGGCCTCAGCCCTGGGCTTTGAGGGCCAGGTCCTGCCCCCTTCTGGCCAGCTGACTCACCTTAGTTGCCCCGGCAACCCACAGCTGGGCTCGTTACCCTGGCAACCCTCAGCTGGACTGGTTATATCCTGCCAGGGCTCGCTCGCTCTCTCTCCCTGGCAGTTTCCACTCCCTAGGAACAGAGCACTGAGGTGCCCTACGACAGTAACCATTGCAGGAACTTGTTCTGCAGGACAGTTGTTCACTTCTAGCTTGAACTTTGAGGAAGCAGAACCACAGACCACAAGGCTAAGCTTAAAAGCCACAAGATGATCAGCTTGGTTTAGTTAATGATGACTCGTTGTTTGTCGCTGTGGGTTGAAACTATAAATCCTGAGTAACTGCCACTAAATACTATAAAACATTTCATGAAGTTTTTCTTGTTGGAATCTGACACTGTCAATTCGAAATCTAGTTGTTGTCCAAAAATGAATAAAAATGTAATTTCAGTAACTGCACCTACTCCAAGTTATCTTCCTGTTTTGAGTTGTTTGCCATAGGTTTTTACATAACTATTTGTTTTTAAAAAACCTTAGGTCAATGTGGGAAGAAACCACACAAACAACCAGAAAAACTGACTGTAATGCAACTGACTAGACAAAGTATAAATGAACAAAGCAAGCACATTGGGAAAAGCTCTTATTAAACGTTTTAGTATACTAACCCTAAATACTGCTTGCAGATATGGTGGGTTGAGTAAATAAACAGATGTAGATGTGAAATTAAAAGAATATTTTGTCAACTTAAGGCCATGTCTTTAAAACTGGGTTCAAAACATCATGATATTTTAAGTTGTTGTTTTCCTCTGTCTTTGTAATGACCCTTTCTTAAAACTAGCTTTTACATATCTACCTGTAGTTTCTCTGTGTTGGCTTGCGTTAAAACTGATATTCTGGCTTCCTTGAATGCTAGGAGGCAATAGTGACATCGGAGGAGCTGGGCCAGGACCTGGAGCATGTTGAGGTTTTACAAAAGAAATTTGAAGAGTTTCAGACAGACCTGGCAGCCCATGAAGAAAGAGTTAATGAAGTGAACCAATTTGCTGGTAAACTAATCCAGGTAAATGTCTTGGCACAGGAAATATTCACCCCTTGCTACACCTTTATTTTTGTTCATGGTGACAGAGCTTGATGATAACTGTATCGGTACCTTGTATGTGGGGTAGATCTGTGGGCATATTACTTTTTCATCCGGGGGCAAAACTCAGAGTATCTTGTGCTAGGGAACTTGACCAGTGGTTTGCCAGGGAACATCCAAAAAGGATTTGTTTGCAGAAGGATTCACCAGCATCTTCTAAAGGCTGTGTCTGTGCTGTCATGAAAGACTGGCATGTCATTTTTCTCCACTGGGTTTCTCATTTGGGAACTGTAGCATTCCAAGACATTCCTGGTCCCTGCAGTATACAAAGAACCTTATTCTTATGCAGCATTTTGTGAAAGCATTGAGTACTTGACTGCTGATGTTACAGCGAAAAGATGAAATTAAGAGATTTAAGAGGAAACAATAGGTTGACTTCATAGGAACACACAAGAGCTGCCATTGACAGAAATCCACAGAGTGGAAGTGATTCTTCTTTTTTTACTCTTGCTTCCTAGGAACAACACCCCGAGGAGGAAATGATCAAAGCTAAACAGGATGAAGTAAATGCAAGTTGGCAACGCCTTAAGGGACTAGCCCTTCAAAGGCAGGGGAAACTCTTTGGAGCAGCTGAAGTTCAGCGCTTTAATCGGTATGAGCTCAGCTAGACCTGTTCAAAACATTTCCGTGTTTGGGTGTTGTAGTGTATGCAAACAGCTACTCATTCATTTTGCTGCATTTGAAGTTGTTTGAATGCTTGCCATCCTGTTCTCATTTGCAGTCCTATTCTTTGTTCCCCCTTACAGAACTTAGAACAGCTAGCATGACTTGTAGAAAATTCTCTGATTTTTCCGTCATGCCCCTTTTTATTTCCCATTGTTCTATTTGATGGATAAGCACTGAAGAAATATCTGTCTTACCTGTTGTCAGCAAATCTGTCAGCATAAAGTCATTCAGTTCTTGATAGATTGTTCTTATTACCCTCATCTCTACTGTTGATAGCACTTTAGGGATTCTTGAGATGAGGGAGGAAAAGGATCCTGGCAGTCATGGACGTTGATCCTATATGCTCAGAAGAGTGTAGACAGTGGCCTGCTACTGACAGAAGTCATGGATCCTGATCTGGCTTTACACCCACTGAGGGCATATACTCCCCAAACATAGAAAAATGGCATATCATTGAGGTATAAAGCATTATTAGCTTCCAGCCAGTTTTCCTAGGCTTAACTTACTAAAGCTTCTGTATCACCAGTATGTTTGCAACAGGTAGAAGGCATTTACTTTCCCTGTAAAAGAGATTAATTGGGATTGATCTCTTATATCTTCTTTTTGAAGGGATGTGGATGAAACCATAGGCTGGATTAAAGAGAAAGAACAACTCATGGCCTCCGATGATTTTGGTAGAGACTTAGCCAGCGTGCAGGCTCTGCTACGCAAGCATGAGGGCCTGGAGCGAGACCTTGCAGCCCTGGAAGACAAGGTGCCCAGAAGAGGTTCTTTAATTATAATGTGTATAGTGTAGCCAGCCTAAAATGAACTTATAGTTATTGTTGTTTGTGACTATCTAGGTAAAGGCTCTGTGTGCAGAAGCTGACCGGCTGCAGCAATCGCACCCAATAAACGCTTCTCAGATACAAGTGAAACGGGAGGAGCTGATCACAAATTGGGAACAGATCCGCACTCTGGCAGCAGAGAGGCATGCTCGCCTGAATGACTCCTACAGGTAGGAATCCTATAGCACAGGGAGGACTCTATCCCAATGTAAATGTAATGCAGGGCTGTGGAGAGGAGGAGGAAGGAAGAGGCCATTTCCAAAGTTTGCATGATGTAGTATTTTAGAGAACAGTGATTGCATAGAAATGTAACCTTGCTTCCAGAGGAATGTTGTCAGTGACTTACGAGCCAAAAAGAGACTTATGCTTTCAAAACAATGCCTGTTGGTAGCTTCTCAGACACTTGGAAATAATCCACAAAAGGCAGAGAGAGAAATGAGCGCTATAAACCTTCATGCTTCAGGACACAAGTCAAACTCTTTCATCCCTCATTTTATATTAGGCAAAAAAAAAATGTTGCTTACTAGAGAAGAGCTTTTCATACACACGTGTACATTTGTCCATTTTGGGGTCCTTGCTTCTTCCTCTGAAGCTTCAGATGTTGGCTATTGCCTGAGGCAAGATCCTTAAACAGATGAAACGTTGAACTGAACTGCTCTGATTAGAGGTACACAGATATATTGGTCTGATATCAGATCAGCACTGAGGTAAAGAAAATTGACTGCATCAAAAATGGCCTCTTTTTTTTTTTTTTTTTTTTGCATGTTAATGACTCCTGACTTCTGTTACTTGTTATCCACAGACTTCAGCGCTTCCTTGCTGACTTCCGTGACCTCACTAGCTGGGTGACTGAAATGAAGGCTCTAATTAATGCTGATGAACTTGCAAATGATGTGGCTGGAGCTGAAGCCCTGCTTGACAGGCACCAGGAGCATAAGGTAATAATAGTCACATAACTGAATCTGATAGTCATCCCTTGGAGGCTTCTTTATTTGTATAGGTTTAACACCAGCCTTTGGAATTGTTTGGTCCTACTGTAGTATTGAAATCCGTGAGCTTTTCAGAATTATTGCTGATTATTTTTGTGCTTTTTCCACATGCACTATGCTGTATGCTTTTCACTTGATAGTTTCAGGTAGCAAGTTTACTGTTTCTTGTCTGTCCTTTATTTAAGTATGTTCGCATCATATTCATTTAGTTTTCTCTTTCTGTGTGGACTAAAGTTGAGCTCAGTTGAACTTCCTCTGAGTGTTCACTTAATGTTCTAACCTATAAGGTTTCTGTGAATAGCTGACAGGAAGATAGCTTGTAATCTGACTTGTAGCCTATATTTGTTAGATACTTTTGAATTTGAATTGTATCTGTATTATTAAGCCAAGGGATTCGATCCAGTTTCGTAGATAGCATAATATCTAATTAACGTTAATTGAATGTCAGTTAATACTTTGAACTTGGCTGTCTTTGGCTTTGTTTTCAGTACTGGGTTTGAGGATATGGCTTCAGACTTAATGATATTGTAAAGTCTTTTTTCATTAACATTTTGGAAGCTCATTTTGTATATTGTTTGCCATAGGGTGAAATCGATGCCCATGAAGACAGTTTTAAGTCTGCTGATGAGTCTGGTCAATCCTTGCTGGCTGCTGGGCACTATGCCTCTGATGAAGTTAAAGAAAAGGTAGGTTAGGCAGCTCTTAATGAAAGAAAGATTGGAAGAATTCTGTACATTTTTTATTCCTCTCAGTGAGAAACACTTAATTTAAGACTATTCTTGAAGGTATTCATCTCACTAGGATGTACCCCACTTCCCCTTAGATTGACACCCTCCATTTGAAATGAAAATTACTTTATCCTCCTTGGGTAAAATAAAGGAATCATCTGGTGGCAAAAGCATGTCCAAGTAGCCAGATTTTCGGATGTGCTGTGGGAGGTAATGAAAGGTACAAGGAACAAAGTGCTTCACACCACCATTGGCTGTCACAGATGGTGCGTTTTTTGCAATCTACAGACTTAAAAAGTTAGAAAATCAGGCCTCTTAAGTGCCATGGTAGGGGTTAGGACTTGCAGGATTTCAAAGATCTGCAGACTGGAAAAGTGGCAAAAACAAAAGCCAGACAACTGAAAGGGGGTAGATTGTTCAGCTTAGCAAAATGAAGGCTTGGTAGGGGATGGGGAACAGGACATGATTTACCATCTACAGCTAACTACTGCAGAGGGAGGGAGGGGGTGAAAGTTGAAAAGCTGATTAAGTTAAAGGACAGTATTGGCATAAGAACTAGTGTCTAGTTCATACACAAGAATAAATTTTGGCTGAAAATTCTAAAAAGGTTCCTGAACATTCGAGGACAGAGGTTCTGAACCAGCCTTCCTTCTGCCTGTATCAGGGCAAAAAAAATGCTCTTAAGATGGAGCGAGGTAAGTTTATGAAAAAGGGTTGTATGACCTGACTGCTGCCAGTAACTAGGCACTGACTCAATGACCCAGAAACTCCAGCCCTTTTGTACAACCACTGCTTTATAGAGGCTATGCTTGAAGTTGCCATTATTGAGATGAAAATGAGCCACTCTTGTGGGCTGAAGTGACTGTACTGAGTATGTATGTCTTTCTCTCCTATTAGCTGACCATCCTTTCAGATGAAAGAGCTGCCCTCCTAGAGCTGTGGGAACTTCGCAGACAGCAGTATGAACAATGTATGGACCTACAGCTCTTCTACAGAGACACAGAACAAGTGGATAACTGGATGAGCAAGCAAGAAGTGAGTCTCAGTTGCACAGCATGCAGTGCTTGGTGAGATAACTCAATTAGCATACATTTGGTTCTTCCAGAAAGAGGAAAAGACTGATTTAATTTCTTAATGCCTTTGCTCGCATTCACTAATTTGCTTCAGTATGATAAATTGTATCGGTTGAAGCTAGGCATGCCCTGGGATGCGTGGGGGAGTATATGAGCCTCCTCAAAGCTGTTAATGGCTTTGTCTCTGGGTTGCCACATCTCTAGTATTTCAGTCCTGTGCTGCAAGCCTGCCAGTTCTGATGAATTGGCCTGGTGTTTCTCTAATACAAGCAGTAACTCACAAGATGTTGTTCCTTTTCACTTCAGTTGAGAGATGTAAATCTCAGCTGCCAAAAATAGAAGGAAGGAACTTCACCTCATACTTCCTCACAAAATCACATTATGTTGGGCCCTGTGCTGCATGCTTGAGTTGACTTTAGGAGAATTGGGAGTAGTAATACAAGGTAACTAATGTGGCTGTTTCCCTTCTCTAGGCATTCCTCCTAAATGAAGACCTAGGTGATTCTCTGGACAGTGTTGAGGCTCTGCTAAAGAAGCATGAGGACTTTGAGAAATCCCTCAGTGCACAGGAGGAGAAAATCACAGTAAGATGATTACACTGGATATATTCACTAAGTGAATAAGGAGCCAACCACAAGTGACTTTACTGGTTGAGTACAGAGGAGTGTTGGGGAACAGCAGAAAAAATTACTTTGTTTGAAGCATAATCCTGAATAGTGCGTGGAACAGAATTTTCCTCCCCCTCAAATAGAACCTTATTGTTGAAGGAGACTGGATGTGGTTTGACCTCTGGGTCGGGGCACCAAGTAATCCAGTACTCGTATCCCCCTGCCAGCCTTCTTTTGAGTGATGCTTCAGTTGTTTAAAGCATCCAATTTCTTATGGGTGCTGTAAGTTTTTCAGTATCTGGACATAACATGATATCCTGAGGAAAATGGTACAGATACAGGAGGATTAAAAAATAACTCGTTAGTTAATTTTACTGGGGTACGTCTTTGAGGGTCTGTCTCCAACATAAATTTGCATAAACATTCCCAGTATTCCAAATGAATGAAAATCACTTTTGTTTTAGGCACTGGATGAATTTGCTACTAAACTGATTCAGAATAACCATTATGCCATGGATGACGTTGCTACACGCAGAGATGCTGTAAGTTTAAAGTAACACTTCTCCCATCTTGGCTAGTATGTTGTAGGAAAGAAAGTAATGAGTGATATTGCAAAGGCAGGATAGATAATTGGAATTGCAGGAAGCAAGTATCTGGTGGAAGTTCTTGGGCTGAGAATTCACTACCAATCTTTGCCTTTCTTTTTTAGCTGCTGAGTCGGCGGAATGCACTGCATAACAGAGCTATGTGCCGCCGTGCCCAACTAGAAGACTCGTTCCATTTGCAGCAGTTTTTCCGAGACTCTGATGAACTAAAGAGTTGGGTCAATGAAAAAATGAAAACTGCAACAGACGAGGCTTACAAGGTAAAATAGGAATATGTATGCTTTAGTGTTCTACAGCACTTATTTCCAGATGCTGTTTGCTTTATCGATGGCAGCCAGAAAAAAAATGATCTTCTCTTCCTTTTTTCCCCAAGGAGAAAATTTCAACCCTGAGCAAACAAATTCTCACTTTCTGGATAAAACAGGCTGCTGTCTAACTTTGTACTTGTATCTACAAGTCATTTTACATTACATCATCATTTATTTCAGCACCCAATTTACACGTTTCTCAGTTGACCAGTGTATTTTTGCTACATACTAGTGATGGAGAGTCCATCGGTTGGGTATTGTTATAGTAGATTATGCAATTTCACTCTTATTCGAGTTTTAAGACTCTTTCTGAGTAATTGTTAGAACTTTTTTTTTTTTTTGTAGAAGTCTAATTCAGACTACATGTTCTTTCCCTTTCTTACCTGTAGGACCCATCAAACCTGCAAGGAAAAGTTCAGAAACATCAAGCTTTTGAGGCAGAGCTTTCTGCAAATCAAAGTCGCATTGATGCTTTGGAGAAAGCTGGCCAGAAGTTGATTGATGTGAAACACTATGCATCAGATGAAGTGGCAGCTCGCATGAATGAAGTCATCAGCTTGTGGAAAAAGCTCCTGGAGGCTACTGAGCTCAAAGGTATGATGGTAGTGAGCCTGTGAGACAAGGATAAAGGGGATGTAGAATGACTGTTTCTTTTTTTGATAAGTTGCTAGAGATGTCAGCTCAGAACAATAAGTAAGCAGCAAGTTTAAGTGAAATGGAAGGTAAGCTATCTTTCTTTCTCCTCTCTTTCTAACCTGTAGGAATAAAGCTGAGAGAAGCCAACCAGCAGCAGCAATTTAACCGCAATGTGGAAGACATTGAGCTATGGTTGTATGAGGTGGAGGGACATTTGGCTTCTGATGATTATGGAAAAGATCTTACCAATGTTCAGAACCTTCAGAAGAAACATGCTTTGCTGGAGGCAGATGTTACTGCTCACCAGGTATGGGGAATGGAGCCTTCCTTTCCACCTTCCCATAAGGATTTGCTCATTCATTTGGTAGTTAGATTTGACACTGCTAGATATTGTACTTAAATATGACACTGTTTACTAATACCTTTTGGGGTCCAGAATTATTATAAATATGTGGTTGCCAGGACTATACCTATTAGCTGGCAGAGTTTATACTAAGGTTTGATAAGCAAGACCTTTCCCTGGGAACAAAGGTTTAGTTTTCTTTTTTTAAATGACTAAGTTGAAAGGAGTGAAAAGTAAAAGTTGATACCCTTGACTTGCTGCCAACACAGCATTATTCTGGGAAGAGATACTTTCAAGATCCATATACCAGCCTATAAATATACGCTATACTCTAGCTACTGAATATCTCCTTTAAAATTGATGTGCCGTTCTTATCATAAGGGGATTATACCTCTCACCACTTTTTTTCATTAACTTAATACAAAAAATTAATTGTAAAAACGAAAGACTTTTTAAAACTTGAAGACAGTCTGTCCACTTTAAAACACCAAAATCCACAGCAAGGGAGTCTAAATTCCAGTAATATATTAGAAGTGGCTTGCTTTTAACTTTATTAAACTTGTTGAATTCCCCTCCCAACTAGATTTGGACAAAGTTGGCACATTGAAAAAGTTATTGGAATTTGGAATTTTCCTTGTGTCTTGCTTTGAGGGTGTGTTTCCAGACTTAAAAAATAGCATGCGTCTGAAAAACAGATGTACTTACCTGTGCTGTGAATATCACTTGGCTGACACTAGTTTATCATTAATTAAAAAAAAAAAATCATTGTCTCTTGCAGGTTCTTGCAGAAATTGGGGTCTCCTATATACCTACATTAGTCCCATACAGATATACAGAAAGATAACTGTCCAAAATGCTTCTAGATTTAAATATGCAAGGCAAACAAAAAGAGGAAGGTTATTCTTATTTTACAGATGGGGAACTGAGGCACAGTCAGTGACTTCCCAGGGTTGCCCAGGAAGTGTGGCAAAAGCCAGGAGTTGAACACAAACACACTAATTCTTATTCTAGTGCCTTAGGAAAAAGCATAAAACTGTCCTTCCTCTGTATTAATGAAAAAATTTCACTTAACTATTTTGCTTTCTTTAGTTCTCTCAACTTGGACAGTTCAAAAAAAACCCCAAACTAGTTAGTTTCTGGTTCAATTTTACTTTCATGTTCAAGCACTACCGCAATGCAAGTGATGATTTCAAACTTCAGTGTTGCACGACAGCCTGACCCCACATATATACCAGGCATATTCAAAGCCTAAAATGTCTTGGAAGACCCTAACCTAATGCTGTTGCTGAATTAAATTTTAGGATCGTATTGATGGTATTACCATCCAAGCTCGTCAGTTCCAGGAGGCTGGACACTTTGATGCTGACAATATCAAGAAGAAACAAGAAGCTTTAGTGGCTCGCTACGAAGCACTGAAGGATCCCATGGTAGCTCGCAAGCAGAAGCTTGCTGACTCTCTCCGCCTGCAGCAACTTTTCCGTGATGTTGAAGATGAAGAAACCTGGATTAGAGAGAAGGAACCTATTGCAGCTTCCACAAACCGAGGTTGGTATATCCTGAGCTTTTGTATCCAGTTAGGTGAACACCAGATAATGGAATTATCCAACCAAACTGTCTCCCTGCAACAGTGTGCAAGACTCATTAAAATGTCTGTTGTAAGGTTTATCCTTAACACTGGTTTGAATTATATATGCTGCAGTTATTGCTGACGTAACCTGCAAAGTGTCTGTCTGTCTCTTTGTTGTGATGGATCTAGTTTGTAATCAGACCTACTTCCTGACTCAGTCTTGCAAAAATCAGTTGCTCTGTTTCTGGCTGGAAGCTTTTGTTTTGCCTGCCTAGTGACTTTCTTACAGATACGTTGATATATGCTTCTCCCTCTTTCAGGCAAAGATTTAATTGGTGTCCAGAACCTGCTAAAAAAACATCAAGCCTTGCAGGCAGAAATTGCAGGCCATGAACCTCGTATTAAAGCAGTCACCCAGAAAGGAAATGCGATGGTGGAAGAAGGTGCGTCTAAATACTTTAATCCCTTCTAGTTTAAAAGTTCAAAATTCTTTGCATTCTTCTCTAGCCCTGTACAGTGTAACTGTTACTACCATCTTACATTAGCTTGCACATGTGGAATTGTAGATGCCAGTGGAATTAAGCAGTGGAAAGTTTTTGGCTGACTGCTCTTGCTGACTTAGAAATAATATGTGAGGTCCTGAAGGAACTTGTGTTCCCTAGTTAACAGGTTTCTTTTTGCTGCTTTTTTAGTCACCTACCTATTGGTGTAAAGTAATTGTCGTATCAAATGGATAAGTGATATTTTATTTCCTAACATGTGACTCTGTGTTTGATCTTGTACTGTTTGTTTGTTTGTTTGTTTTTTAAGGCTTCTGCTCTTAGGCACCTTGATAAATAATAATCAATAGAAACGATAAATCTGTAGCTCATGCTGCCAATGCATTTATGTTCGCATTAGTCTCTCTTACTGAGCAGTTTTGACTTGAGAGCTAAACTTAAGTACTTAGCTCCAGAATTCAAACCGGTTTTCTGAATCGTGATCTTTACATAGTATAGGAAATCCAGTTGTAGAAAGAATTGTTCTTTCCCATCATAGCTGTAAACAAACAAACAGACGGGAAATGATTAGGAGTAGCCTGTCTCGTTTTCACTGGCTGAAATGTTCCTAGCCCACTCTGAGAATATCCTCCAATTAGTGCCAAGGACATCACCTTCAGCAAACATAGTTTGGACTAACCACTGTGTAAACTAAAAAGGTCTACGCAAATATAACTTCCTCTGGTATTAAAAATGAAAGTATTTCAGTCTTTTTTAGTTTCTTATCTCTCTAGCTAGTTTCAAAACCTACTCTCCTGTTATTTAGGACACTTTGCTGCTGAGGATGTAAAAATCAAATTGAATGAACTGAACCAGAAATGGGAATCACTTAAAGCAAAGGCATCTCAGAGGCGACAAGATTTGGAGGACTCCTTGCAAGCACAGCAGTACTTTGCTGATGCTAATGAAGCTGAGTCATGGATGAGGGAGAAGGAGCCCATTGTAGGCAGCACGGACTATGGAAAAGACGAGGACTCCGCTGAGGTACGGTGTTCCTGGCACATACATCAGTTCTGCCCATGGAACTCTGATGGATTCTGATGTACGCTTGATGACAACAGTGAGTTGTTCTGCAGGCCTTAGGCAAGTGAGAAGGAGACTTTCTTATCTCACAAACTAGTAGCTGAGCTTAGAATTTAAAGAGTGCAATCTTTTTTGTTCTCTGCCTCCATTAATATTTTATATTGTGTTTGTTGTAGTCAATATATTGGGCCAGCCACACACAAGGTTGTCATAGTTACAGGATTTCATGTAATGTGGAGGAGGTGGAAAGTTTAATTACCTCAGTTGTATGTAGTAGGATTCAGAATTTCAGACATTGTCAATATGAATCTGGCCTTCAAGTAAGTTATTAATTGAAAGACATTGCTATTTAACAGTTATTTCAGTGGTATTAATCTAATGCCTGATGGCACCTTCTTGGCTATATAGAAACAGTAGAAACTAGCTACCTGCAGGATGTACAGTCTGAGCTGATCTCACTTCTAATGGGCAATTCCCCTAGTTGGGATTAGAAAACATTTGTGAGGCAAGGCAAACAAACTTGCCGATATACTACTTATTCCATATCTGTCCTATGTATAAATTAAGGACTTAGCACTCCACAGGTGCAATTCTCCTAAGAACTTGATTTAATGTAGAGAGAATCCATATAATATTTGATAGCAGTATGGCATCTGTAAGATGGTTCCCCAATGTGTGTGTGTTTCTGTTTTGGTTCCAGGCTCTTCTGAAAAAACATGAGGCATTGATGTCAGATCTCACCGCATATGGCAGTAGCATACAGGCTCTGAGGGAGCAGGCTCAGTCTTGCAGGGTAAGAAGAGAATGCTGATCCTAGTAACTCGGCTGTCAACTGGTACTCGCACCAGTTTGTGCTTTACAGGCCCATGTTTAAGTTAGCACAGGCAGCTACAGACTGCTCTGCTATTATCTGTTACAGTCTGTCACAGGGGAGATACTTTACACAGATAAAAAAAAAACATTATTTTTGCAACATGAAACTGTTGTAGCCCCTGCCCCTATTTCAAAGTTTGAGTCTAGATTGGACCCAAATAAACTTACTGTAGCATTCGAATTTCATCAGTCGCCAACCAATGTCCTTTTATGAATTATAGGTACAATAAAGTTTGAAATTTTTGTAGAACAGCTGCATTGGTTACGCTGAATATTTAGCATCTTTTAAGGTGATAATTTTTTTTTTTTCTTTTTTCCTCTCTCCTATTTATTGTAGCAACAAGTTGCCCCTACTGATGATGAAACTGGCAAAGAGCTGGTCCTGGCACTCTATGATTACCAGGAAAAGAGTCCCCGTGAGGTCACAATGAAAAAGGGAGACATCCTGACACTGCTCAATAGTACTAACAAGGTAAGCCCTTTGTCTCCCAGCAAGCTCAGAATCCCAGCAGTCTTAGCCTTATATAGGCTAATAGGCTTTTTTTGTTTTTCTTAAACAGTGTTGTGGTAGCAGAGTTAGATGCTGACATACTTATGCTTTGCTTCCATTCCTCCTTTCCTTCTGAATTCCCAGTAGTTCCATTATTGTTTCTGTTTTACAACCCTTTCCCTCTGTCACTAGCAGCCTCCTGAGAGTCAAAGACAACACTCACCTTATACCCCATCACCCTTAGTCAGTAATTGAACATAAGAGCTCAGGATTGAGAGAAGAGGCCTGCTGTCCACAGTACTCCCAGTCCTTCCTTCTCCAGTGAAGGAGAGAATATGCAGAATAGGTTTCTGTGCTGCTGCAAATAATTGGCATTAAGATCAAATGCAGTTGAACATCCAAAGGGTCTGTGCAATAAAGCTCTGTGCTGCTGTTGACACTAGTTGTGTGCTAATAGTATCTTCTAGGCTGAGGTGGACAAAATATGGTCTGTGGGCTGGATCCAGCCTACAGAGGGATTTTGCTTGGCTCAGGTGTGAGGGACAACCTGGGGCATGGCATGTGCAGCTGGTTCTGCAGCCCCTGGGTGCACAGTAGGGCTAGGGCAGTGCAGCGGCTGGACTCCCATTTCCCAGCAGCCCCAGTGGTGGCAGCTCCTTCCAGCTGCCACTGCCAAACACAGCTCTGCTGTTGGGCACCCACCACCAGGGACAGGAACCCTTGGGCCAGCAGGGCACAGCATCCAGGAGTGAGATGGGTGGATGGGGCCAGGGAGACGCCAAGATCTTGGAGCAGTGACAGTGCAGGGCTGGGGTCTAGAGCCACCATCCACTGCTTGCACACCCCTGCGATGTGTGCAGGTTCTACAGGCAGGAGCATGTAGGGAACAGTGCAGCTCAGCCCTGACCCCAGCCCTGCACTGTCGTTGCCCCAAGATCCTGAACCAGGTCTTGAACGTAGCTCCCTGCCTGCCTGCATAGCTCCTGGCTGATTTCCATGGAGACCCCAGGATCATGGGCCCATGAGCGTAGGGCTGGGGCAGAGGCCCAATTCTGTAGGCAAGGACACATCATGGCTGTCCCAGTCCCAAGCTGTTACCACTCTGCGATCCTGGGGTCTCCATGGAGACCAGCTGGGAGGTGCATCTGGGGTGATAGCATGGGGCCAGGGCAGAGCCGCAATCCACTCCCTGCACTCCCGTGTCTGGAACCCATGCCCATCACGGGCATTCAGGCAGTGGATCACGGCTCTGCCCTGGACCCCACTCCATACTGTTTACCATCCTATGACCCTGCCCCATGATCCTGGCCTTGCCTACCTGTCCTGTTCCCAAACACCGCTTCCTGCCTGTGCACGGCCCCATCTCACATAGGGAGCTTTGGTGAGTTGTTGCGTGAGCAGGGGACTGCTGACCCAGCCTGCGCCAGCTCAGCAAAACTCCCCATGTGGCCCACAGACCCAAATAATTGCCCGCCTCTGTTCTAGGAAGTTGTAGAAGTTTTGGGTTGGTTCTATATCTGTTTCCTTTCAGGATAAACTTGTAATCAAGATTTTGTTTTTCATTTTGTTCAGGACTGGTGGAAGGTGGAAGTTAATGACCGTCAGGGTTTTGTACCAGCTGCTTATGTGAAAAAGCTAGACCCTGCCCAGTCTGCCTCCCGAGAGAATCTCCTGGAAGAGCAGGGCAGCATAGCATTGCGGCAGGAGCAAATTGACAACCAGTAAGATCTAACCGGCAAGATGTTAAAGCAGTTGTGGCACTGGCCTGCCTGGGTTTGCCTGTGTCTCTGTCCTTTTGTTTAAAAAAAAAAAAAAAAAAAAAAAAAGTTTAGGTAGATGCCCCTTACTAGCAAGGGTAGGGTAGTGAATTAAAGCTCCTAGTGGTGCTCCTTTAGTGAATTCTATTTATTATCCTTTTCATTCTAATTTTAGGGTCTTCTTCTAATTTTCCATTTTTCTAACTGTAGAAATCATGAAATCTAAGTTAAACTTACTGTCTGAATATTTTCTCTGTTTTGTGGCTGTTACATCTACTGTCTCTCCTTAGTATCACTCATTTATAATCTGTAACTTAACGTGATTCCATTTGAGATGCATCCTTAAATCTGGTTACCTGAAGTACAGTACCCTCCCTATACAGGGCTGTCCTCAAGCAATGAACTACTTAGGGGTCATGGCTATCTGGCTCTAGCTTGCTGTAGTTTTTTCCCCCTTTTGAGAGATGCGGCTGTCCCCTTTACTGCTGTGTGAGCTAAACCTACCTGTAAGACATTTTAATTTGCTGCGCAAATGAACAAAACTGCCTAATGCTTGGTTATTGCCCCTCCTATAGCATGTGGTAGTGTTAGATTAGCTTGAGGCAGTGCTGCAGGCAGTAGGTGTGGGCTATAGGCTCATCTTATCAAAGCACTTAGGCTAAAGCTGGAAGTTTTATGTTCCCTCGCAGCTGTTCTCACAGTTATGCTTTCACTCTTATAAGAGCTGCCACCTACTCAAGTCACCAAATTATTAAATGACACACTAATTACTGGCTTTGTAAACTGTAAGATAAAAACCTGTTTGTGCATTTCCCAAAAGATGTACATTATATAAGAGGAAGGAAAGGATTTAAGACCCTTCCATATCATTAAAGTGCCAGGAATAGTCTGTTAGGTAACTCTGAAATAAGCTTGTGCACTGCTTCAGAGAGCTGAAAGTGAAGATGTGTTCCTTTGGAGCAGGGGAGATGCCTTTTATTTCCAAACTGAATGGCATGTTCAGGAAGTGAGGTGGCCCAATAGTGAGAGTTCAACTGTACTGCTGATGGTTTCCTTACACAATTTGCATTCCTGATCTGATTTGCTTTTGAATGATACCTAATTTTTCTTCATTTAAATGTGCACTCTTAACCATCATCTCCCACCACAGATGACCCATGGATGGAGCTGCTGCTTTCATAATTTTTGTTAATCTAACTAATTTTTGCATGCTTTTGCTGTGCTCCCTCTGTCTGTGCAGGACTCTCATAACTAAGGAAGTCGGCAGTGTATCTCTACGTATGAAACAGGTCGAAGAACTGTGAGTAGGACTAGCCCTCTCTAAACCATGCTGTCTCCATGCTGTCACCTGTTCATTCTCCCTTTGTTTCTTTTCTACTTTGGGAGAGTTACTCCAGAAGGACTTGGGAAGCAATTTGTGCAATGTGGAGTAGTCTTAATTTAGAAAGGCAGTCGGGTGTTTGGCTCGTGTGTTCTTTCAGCCAGCCAGCTGTTTAGCAAGGCAAAAGGCCAACGAGATAAACTGAAGGCTCAGTTATTTTCCACCATAGTGAACTTGCTTACTGAACAAGGCATCAGCTGGTCACCTTTAGGCTGCCTGGACTAAGTTTTCTTTACCAAAAAAAAATCATACAGGTTTTCAAAGTACAGATAAAAATGTATTTATGTGGATACTTTTAATATAGGGGTGCACTGATAGAGATTTTTGGGGGCCGATACCAATAGCTGATATTTAAGGAGGCATATCGAGAAAACTTTCTTTATACTGTATTGGTGCCAATCTGATATCGGACCGATGTATCAGTGCACCATTACTTGAATACAATAGGTCATATGTGAATGTTTTTAGAGGTATTAGATACAGTTGAAATAATCCTACTACCCATGTGGTGATCAAGCGCCAGTGTTGCATAAAAGTTACATTACATGGATGCAATTGTCCTTCACTATCATAACATTAATTTTAAAAGATTGTTAAGAACCTGCTGAAATAAATGTGCATTGCACTGAACTCTGATTAAATTTCTAGAAAGGCAAATTCCATGGGTAAGCACCCTGGCTTGAGAGTGCTCTGTTGCCTTTCTGAAGCTTAGTGTTGAATCCCAAAACAAAAATCTTGAAACCACTTCCCCAAAATTTAATTGAGGGAAAGCCAGCTTCTAAGCAAGTTGAGTCTCATGCAATTTAATGTCTCTGTTCTTATGTTTATGTAGTACCTGAAATTGTACACTGACGTAACCTTTAGTCTGTGTACTGGGTATGAAGCTCAAGTGTTACCTGTTTCTGACAACCCATCCCATTCAGAAGACTAGCAACAGCATTCTTTATGAGTTTCACTTGGGCTGAGCCTCAGCTAGCTCACTTCCATCCACTTCCAGTCTTGTATTCAATACCAGGATGATAAGAGTCCGTAGAATTAAGGCTTTGTGAAGCAAATATGTAGCTGAGTAGCCATGTTATATACACACGCTGTAGCGCAAAGCAGCTAGCTAGCTTTCCTTCAGAAATCTTTTCCGGCATTGAGAGGTATGACCAAATGATATCCTCAAGGTCCTACCATATTGGAAAGTAATCCTTCATTAGCCATCCAGGGGTCCCCCAGAAAGCAAAATGAAACCACTACAAGGCTTTGCAGTTCTCTCTTGTGTGGTCCTGCAAGTCTCTCAGTGATAACTTATGGTATTAACAACAGCTAATGTAATAAATCAGAATGGACCCCTTCCCACTGTACATGGCTTGAAGATGAGTATCAGTCATAGATGACTGTACTATAGGTCCAGGCCTGAAATCAACTGAGAAAATGTGAGGAATCCAGGTGGTGATGGAATTTACCCCATCACCAGATGATTTGAAACAGGATGACAGAGTGACTATTAAGGGCAATTCCTCCAGGAAGGCCTTTAACACAGCTGATTTGAAGTGGTTGTCATGTTTCTCTTTCCCAAAAGGCATTCACAGTCTCCTATAAGTGAATGAACACGAATGACAATGTGTCAGACAGCCCAGTAGTTTTCAGATGAGGCACGGAAAATTGAAGTATCGGAGGATGATATTTCAGTGTCATACACAGCATATTTTGTCCGCTCATTTGATATAGTTGCAGGCAGAGTATATCATAAAATAATTTCTTTCCCATATGTGTCCTATGCTGTATGCAGCCAACCCTGCATTGCCATGCTGTTACTGCTTACCAGCACTTGTTGTTATCAGCTGTCATTTGGTTTTGCTTCTGCTCACCAGAAAAAGCTTTGTACACAGAAGGTCATCCCTGTATATAGTATATATTCTGAAGGTTTACATTTACATGATCACATAGAGATCATCCTGTGCAATAATAGGCAATTCAGTATCTTGGTGTGGGGATAATCCCATCTCTGGCAGTACTGCCTTCCATTCAGATGCCTGTACATGTCATAGGCTCTGGTTTAAGTGAGATATATCATAGCTCCCTGCCTTTTTCTGCTTGTCCCAGATACCACTCTCTGCTTGAGCTGGGGGAGAAGCGCAAAGACATGCTGGAAAAAAGCTGCAAAAAGTTCATGCTTTTCCGTGAGGCTAATGAGCTGCAGCAGTGGATCAATGAGAAGGAAGCTGCACTCACCAATGAGGAGGTGGGAGCTGATTTAGAGCAGGTGGAGGTACTGCAGAAGAAATTTGATGACTTCCAGAAGGTAAGTAGTTGTGGTCCATAAATTGCATAATAAGCCTACTTCCTTTCTGTCCTTACACACAGTTCCCTGACTGGGTAGCCACATGACTGCTCCTTCTTTGGTATAGTTCAGACAAAACACAAGCATGTGAAGCAAACGAAGCACTTGGTCTAATTTCTTTTAGTGCTGCCACTGCACAGATCCACACAGGCCCCTCTTTCTCTCCCTCCCTCCTGTGTTTTGCTTTACATGACTCCACACCTCAGTAGCACCAGAGAGAAACCCTCTTTATATCCTGTCTCGAGTAGTGTCCCATATGCTTATTTGTAGGTGCTGCCCTTTGCCACTACCTTGTGGGCATCTTTCTTAGTGCTGGACATTCTGTATGTGAAAGGTCCTATTCTTTGTAGCTTAAGGGCAGAATATTTTTTTAAATGATCTGATGTTGCACGGTGGTATATGAGACATGAAATAAGTAATGTTCTCTAAAGAGATTATTAGCATGCGACTTTCCCTTTTTTTTTTTTCCTTCAGCCATTTTTGGGATGCTAGTGTGGCATTGGCTTGAGTTTCTGCTTGCATGAGAGTTATAAAAATGCTTCTTGGGGAGCTTGCAAATTGAAGCAGCTGGTGATTTTGGTGGTTTTCTAGGCTGCATATTGTATTTACAACTTGTATGTTAATTAACAAACAACCTGGTCCAGCCATGGAAATAGTGCCAAATACCACAATGTGTTTCTGTAATAGCTTGATGGGTGTACTTGGAAGAAGTCACCTTTTGAAATACGTAGCACCTTTCCTTTTGTTAATAGCTTGGTGCCATCCTTTTATTGTGCCTGAAGTAATAAACTTCTAAACTTACCACTTCAGTTTTTCTTTTGATGAATTTATCCAGCACTACAGCCAATAGCTTTTGATCTTAATCATTTTGGGCAGTGGTGCTCAATCTTTCAGCCCAACAGGGCAGATCCCACAAGTGGGTTGGTCTGCATGCCTGATCCAGCATGGGGTTGCCAAACAGGGTTGGTCTGTGGGTGCAGTCCAGTGCACCAACCCAGCCCCATGCACTGGATCCAGCCACGGAACAACTCGGTGCCAGCCAAGTCTGGCCCCGTGCACCAGATCTGACCACAGTGACCCTGTGCATTAATGTAGTCTAGAGCACAGACCCATGTCATTAGACGTGTGGGCCAGATAACCCAGTCTCGCAGGCCAGAGGTTGTGTGTCACTGAGATTGCTGATGTAGACATGTAGTTAATAGATTTAAAGGATATACCGTTGTTAGGCGACTCATCAGCTTGATTTGTACATGGAAAAGTCTTGGAACCCATTTCTTTAATACATTGGTGCTGATACTTGGGATTTCTTGGAAAAAGACGCATCCCTATGTCTACATTGCATAAACTGGAAAGGTCAGGAGAGCTGAATTCCTGCTGTTGGCAAATTGGGTACCTCTGTTGCAGCTGCCTCCTTTTGTTTTATCTGCAAGTTCAGTCTATGGTGTTTTGCTGTCTTGTGCAGGATCTGAAAGCCAATGAATCACGCCTAAAGGATATCAACAAAGTTGCGAATGACCTGGAATCAGAAGGGCTGATAGCAGAAGAAGTACAGGCAGTACAGCAGCAGGTTCGTGCTCGTGTCTGACTTGGGCTACTGCCAGGTTGTAGCAAAGACAAGTGGAATTGCCCTGTCTTCTCCAGGTTTTCTAGCTCTCTTCCTCTTCTGCAGCTGCAGATTTATTGCTAGGTGTTAGCTGCTTACTCTTTCCAAGATTGTTAGTAGTCTAACTAGAGCCTCTTAACATCTTCTCTGGAGACTAGGATAGCTTAGCAATCATTCAATTTTATGTAGTGCAGTAGCACATTTCTAGACCACTGCTTAGGTGTTTTTAATAGTGGGAATCCTAAATAACTACTTGGATTCTTTCTGATTTGCAATGTTGCTTTCTACTTATTTAATCTTTCCAGTTTTTTATCAGTTAAATGGGGATAATACTTGCATACCTTAAAGGTCCAAGGGTTAACACTGATTTATTGGTTTCATTTGTTTCATTGTTTGTGCGCGGGCTTTCAAAATTTAAACTGTTATATAAATGCCAGGTGGTATTAGCTTTTCAAAGCTCTTGGTTTGTGCAAACAATTCTGCCCAATCAACTGTAATAGGAAGGAATGCTGAGCAAACTCATTCCTTTATAAATCCCTGGAGGTAATGTGTTGTTGGAGGTGTGTGCAGCAATAAATCCTGCTATTCAATGCTGCACATTGTCTTTGAGCACATTCTTTGGCTGGTAACATACTGAAGGTCAATGTGTAGGAGAATATTTTTGCGCCCTCTTTGTCTGTTCCATCACCTTCCCTTTCCACAAAAATAATCAAATCTTTCTACAATTTCTCTTAAGTGTCTTGCAAAGTAACAGCTATTTCCTTTTCCCTTGCAGGAAGTCTATGGCATGATGCCCAGGGTAAGCACTGACATGACATTTACATGTTGTCTTAACAAAAACAGGATCAGAGGATATACAAGATGTTAAGGTTGAGACCTCCTTGGGAATACAGTTTGTTTCCCATATAACTCTTGATAATGATGTTAAAGGGACATTTTTAAAAATTCCCTTGGTCTTCCTGAGTGTATTTGAAGAGGGGGTCTCTGATCCATTCATCTTCTTGTTTGCACCTCTGGTTGGTAGCCTTCTCAATGCAGGATAGATTTTTTGGGTTTGTTGTTTTTTGTTTTGGTTTTTTTGAAAGAATCATAAAAATTATGCATTCAAATATCTTTAGGGTTTAATTCGTGTATCCTGTTTGTTTCTGATTTAGTCAGGTTTGGGCTAACTCCCATTTTTTTTGTTTTCTTATGTTTAAAGTTTCCTTTTTCTATTTTTTTTTTTTTTCTTTTTAATAGGATGAAACTGATTCTAAGACTGCTTCACCTTGGAAGGTAGGGCTTGTTTATTTGGTGGCCCCTTCAACTAGTGTGCTTTTACAAAAGGAAATACATGCAGAATACTCGTCTTGTCTTATCACTCCACCCCATTCTGCACAAGAGGATCAGATTTTCTGTCTGTCCTGGTCAAATAGGTCTTATCCCTGGGAGTCATGAAATACTTTTGAATATTTATAAGTAATGTTACCCCAGCCTAGTACTGACTTCTGTAAGGCCTCATGCCTTTTGTTTTGTCTTCCTCCCTCTAATTTGTTTTAAGTGCATGTGTAGAAGTTGCTAAGTCTTTGAGGAGGAATGGATATAGGTTACACTTCTAAATATACTCCACTGTGGCAATGCTGCATGCGGAAAATGAAGCTTTTCCCATAAGACCTATATATAATCTTCAATTGAAGAAATACTGTCCACGTCCAGATGAGCACGACTGTGTGGTATGTGGCACATACTGCACATTCATCTGTTCTCTGAGCAGGGTGGGGTTGACCCCAGGAGATCCCAGGGTCAAAAAACCTGCACACAAAAAAGAAAAAAAAGAAGAAGAAAAAAAAAAAAGGCAGGGCAGTACATGTGGGGGCAGCATGTGCCGCCCAAAACTGGAGTCTGGCAGGCCAGAGCCATACTCTGGCTGCCAGTCAGGCTCCAAGCAGAGGATCACTGCAGCTGCAGCCCCAAGAGGACCCCAGGTAAAGCTGCTGGGGCTAGCTCGGTGCTAGCCCCAGCCTCCTGTACCCCACCTGGGGTAACCTGCTACGTGCCAGAGAACACATGGCACAGCCATTCCCTGGGGACAAGTAGCAGCAACACAAAATGTGCTTCTGCTTCTTGTCCCCAGGGAAACATACTTGTATGTTCGTGTGGACGCAGCCACTGGTGTCTAAGTGGGCACCTACACATGAGCAGCAAGGCTGCTCCAGTGTGCTATAATCACTCTGATGCTGCTTCAGAGTGGACTCAATTAATCGAGTCTGCTGGAGTATGGTAATTTTATCATGAAAATCACAAGGACACTCTCAGAGCGTCTCATGTATTGTGTATCAGCTGATATCGTGTATCCAGTGTCTCCTGTATCGTGTATCAGCTGATACACAGGATACTCTCAGAGCCACTCTAATTAAAATGCGCCACCCACCCTTTTCTCCCCCCCACTCCTGGAGCATGTGTATAAATGCCCACTTTTACCTAGTAAAGTATAGGACCCCTTCTTATGAAAATGTCCACAATTAAATGAATTTATTTGGTATTGGAAGAAAAAAGATTTGCAT